TTTTTAACTTGTCCTAGTAAGTTACTTTTTTTTATAAAGTCACTATTTTTAAAATAATGATTAAAAGTAAGATTACACGTTTAGAATAAACATTAAGTAACATTATCTGTATTTATTTATAGGATGACAACTTTTAGAAATAATTTTTGCTTTTTGAGAGCAGTTTTCTCAAAAAACGATTTTTACCAAAACTATATTTTTAAATAATTAACAACTTAAATGTGATGAGTTATAAGCATATTTTTTGTACAAAATAAGTCTAGGTTTACCGTTGTTATGGTTTTAAATAAGAAATTGTTTTAATTATAATTTTTTTTTTATCAAGACATTTTATATATTTGACGGATAGGACACGATTGAGAACTTTTTTAACCTGTGAAAAAATGCTAAAATATTTATATAGATATTTATTTATATATTTCTCGTTTTATTTATTATTTATGAATGTTTAATTATTTTGTGAAAAACAAATTTGAGCTTTATTATTAATACTTAGCCTGTAACAATTTTTATTTGAGAAAATATCCTATTATTTATTGTCGGTTAGTGTTTTTCAATGATGTAGATGGTCGCTTTTGGCGTGTTCTTAAACAAAATAATATAATAATAATTATAAAAAATGTTTAAAAATTAAAAAAAAAATTTACAGTTTATTGAGTGTCCATTAATTTCTTCCCCTCCTACACTTAATTGGGCGACATTGCGAGTTATATTATAGGATTTGCCTTGAAGTTATTTCCGCAAAAGAAAAAAGATAAGTTTTAGTCATGCCCTTTAAATGCAAACTATTATGTCATTCAGTTGTGAAAGTTGGCCATTGTTTTGTTGTTATTGTATTACTTTTTTTTTTTTTTTTTTTTTTTTTTTTTTTTTTTTTTTTTTTTTTTTTTTTTTTTAATATATTTCACTTGCAGTGTTGCCTATTCTTTTCTATCTATAATTTGTAGAAAAAATTATTGAGTTAAGGTATAAAATGTAAAACTTTCTATAATTTAGTGGCCCCAGTAGTGACGCCGAACGTTCCTGCCGGTGTTACGGCGGCAACGTACAATAACGCCCCAGGACCAACGAGATTGAATAATTATAATTCAAATCAAGCATACCATCCTTACAAGCGAAACTGAATGTTTTCCTTATTGACTGGATCGACATAGTTGTGATTTTAAATCGTCTATGCTCCTCAAATCATTTCTAATCATTCTTATATAAAACACTATTATTATAAGTTTCTTAATACACATTGTGATTGTGTTATATTTGTAAGACAAAAACTGATAAATTTATCGACAGTTAAGTATTTCAAATCATATTGATCATAATGTATTATTAATTAATAGAAAATTATATAAACACTTTGTCATTTTAATTTTTGGAAAACATTTTTATAATGTGATTCCTTACTTCAGGGTATCAAACTATGTAAATAATTGATTATTTGTTAAGAAAATATAGGTATATATATTGAATTAGTAAAACTATCCTTACAGATTAATAAAAATAATACACCATTATGATTTATGTATATATAAGTTTGTTTATGTACAATGTTGAGTATTTTTTGTTTGTTTTTTTTTTTCATTTTGTTTAATAATTATAAATTTTTGGTGTATTAACGATTATTACTTTTTTTCTTACTCTAAAAATTATAAAGTATGCACTGAGCAATCAAATTTACAAATAATGTTGTTTTTGAATTTCAATGTAGAAAATTAGTATAAATTTCAAAATTAATTTATAAAATTGTTCTTATTAACTTTCAAAATTTACCCTTTGTAATTGAATGCATTTTTATTTATAAGTGAAACAGTTTTATTGTGTTTTAATTTCATCATTTACAATAGTTATTAACACAGTTCAATAGTTTCAGATTAAATACCAGGAAACAGTTTTATATGACTTACTTTTTAGTTTGAGCACATATTATCAAGTCTTCGTTAAAAAAATTGTTATTGAAGAAGTAATAAATTTTATTAAAAATTAAGAATTATTAAAATAAATTTAATTCTACTCTCAAATTAATTTAAAAAAACGTATGGTACTCGGGCCTATTAAAAGAATTCTGGTATTATGATAAGCTAGAATAATGCTTTTTGATATAGTGTAATTTTAATTACATAAGTGAATTTTTTAAAAAATTCCATTGAAAATTTTGCTGTTGATTGTTTTGCCCTAGTTTCATCACTGCGAAATTAAATTATGGATTTGTAGAGTGTATAATAGTTTTAAAGGACACAATCATCAGACTTGTTTAATAATAATTAAGTTAGTAAGAATTAATAAGTATACCATTCAATAGCAAAAAAATAATTTTTCATCTTTAATCAAAATATTAGACCTATCACACAAGGATTTTGAACCTTAAATGATTTTTAATAATGTTAATCTCTTAATTCAACTTAAAAAAGAATGTCCCTAAGTTTTTTTTTGTTATTTGATTAAAAATAAATATTTCTTTCATTTTGCTATAACTATTTCAATAATACATTGATCTTGATTGTATTTTAACACAAGTACTAGAGGCAATAATATTTTCTTTTAGTATGCTTTCTAAGAAAAACTGGAATACAGGAAGGTTTCAAAAAATATGACCGCCTGCCCTATTTTGATGTATATTATAATTTAAAGTTTTTGAAACGTGTATACTACAATAAAAAAAAAAATCCATCACAAGAATGCATTCAAATTTGTCGCTTTACATACGTTACTGGGGTAATTCCCTCTATTTTCGCCATAACATTAAAATCTTAAGCAAATCTTTGTTTATTAATAAATTATAAAATAAGTATTATTTTTAATGTATTATATTGTTAACATAAGTAATACGGGGTTGATAACAATAAGAACACAAATAGTAGAATAATACATATGTCGTACATAATATATTATTAGTAATTATAAAATTGATTTATGTCGACGTTTGGCCTTCGTAAACGAGTCAATTAAATCTTCGCAATTTAATTGGTCTAATATTTCATTTTCTTTGTTGAGAAGTGCGACATTATTTAACTTGGTATTAGTTTGAGTGAATCTCAGATTTTTTTTACGCGTTTGAGACACGAAAACGTACAAATTTAACAGATATTTCATATTTATAAATGTTAACTATTAAAGTTACTAAAGATTTTTAATATCTGTGGAATTTAATTATTACAACATCGAACGATAAAGAAGCACAATTTTTAGCTTCGATGCGAAGCTGAGAAGGCATTAATTTTACAATGATGTTTTTTTTTTTGTCTGTATACGCTCAGTCTTAGCTCTCACTGAACCGATTTTGATGAAAAATATGTCAAAAGATCACAAATCGTATCTAGTTGAAGACATTACCCTCAAAAATTGAAAAAAATTCCCTCGTTCACCGTAAACGGGGGAAATCCCCCAAAAAAATTACAAATTTTAAAAATCGCTAATTTTTTTTACTAAAAACTGCCGTAACTTTTTCAAAAATGAACATATTAATATAATTTTTTTTTTTTATAGATGCTTGATCTCCTTACCTATCATTTGGTATATTTTTTTGTAAATTTAACCCTTTATCTGCCCACGTGGGGGATTTAAAATGACAACTTTTATACAAAAAATTAACTTTTGAAAATGTTCCGGAAAGACTGACACTTTTATATATATCTTAAATTAAAGCTTATGTCATATACTTTAATTAAAAAAAAAAAAATTTGACCTCTGGACTTGTCTTCATGGTGAAAATGACTACCGTATGCAAAAATATGCTATTTTTTAAAAAAATTCTTGATATATTTTACATTTTTTAACATTAGGATGCTATAACTTTTTAAAAAATGCATGAATCAATTCTATTTTTTAATAATAAATACTTTATATATACCTCTTTCATTCGACATACTTTTTTTTTAAATCGGACCTTTTCTCTTTATACAGGGGGGGTGCAAACCTTTTAAAATGCGTATAGAAAGTAGAACTTTTTCAACTTAACTTTTGAAAATGTTCCGGAAAGACTGACACTTTTATATATATCTTAAATTAAAGCTTATGTAATATACTTTAATTTGAAAAAAAAAAATTTGACCCTTGGACTTGTCTTCGTGGTGAAAACGGACATCAAAGTTAAAGAAAAACGTACGATTTCCGTGAAAAAATTCTCGATTTTATATGTTATATTATTTAATTTATATTTTATATAACTTTTGGAAAAATGTATGGATCAATATTATTATTTTTTTATAATAAATATTNAAAATGTATGGATCAATATCATTATTTTTTCATAATAAATATTTATATACCCCTTTCATCTAGCACGCATTTTTTGTAAATTGGATCACACCCCTTTAACAAGGGGGGTCAAAACTTTAAACATGCGTATTGTTACTAGGATATTTTCAATTTAATTTTTGAAAGTATTCCGGAAATACTGACACTTTTATATATATCTTAAATTAAAGCTTATATAATATACTTTAATTTAAAAAAAAAAATGTGACCTCTGGATTTGTCTTCATGGTAAAAATGACTACCGTATTCAAAAATTTGCTATTTTTGTGTTAAAATTCTGGGTTTTGTATTTTATTTTATTTTAAAATACCTGACAAGGGGAGTACAGATTTTCATAAATATTATATAAATAAAAAATTAATATAGCATAGAAAGTTAAACTTATTTAAATTTGTTTGCTTCTTTTAAGTCGAGAAAAATAACTTTGAAATTTGAACTAGCTTAAATAGCCGATATTTTCAATTAACGGTATCGACGTACGGTTGCCGAGTTGATAGAACTTATGCTTTACCCGCTTGGGGTACGAGGTTCCAACCCGCGTATGACAATGAAATTTTTTTATTTTTTATTAATTCTTTTTAAGTTAGTATAAATTTTTAACTCGTTTGATTTTTATCTCATTTA